TATTCTAATCTCTCTTAGCATTGCTCTATCAGTTATGCACAAATGTTTCTATTGTCTCATCTCCCCCCCCCCCTCCTCAAGCGCAAGAGCAGAAATCATTGAAAACCATCACGATAGGATTTTTCACGTCATATACTTAGCCTGAAGCACGTAATCGGGCGCCGTATCTCTCACAGGTTCATTCGAGATATTCTTCCGTCTCGTGTTCTCGAGACGGCGTTTTTCTTTTAGGGAAAAATTCACGAGATTCTTCGAAAGCCGGAGAATCGAAATACGTACGTACACTACATATCGCGAAACCAAGAATAAAGCAACTTCCATCTTCCAATTGGCTGACACGATATTATGCAACCCCACACAATGAAAGGCAATAAATCGCTTCCGTCTCGTAAATCACATTTCCGCTTCCAACATTTCGGGTTCGCCACTCTCAAAGTAAGTCTTCGTTGTTACGTACGTATGTGTATGTGTGCGTACGTACGTACGTACTACACGCGCATACGCTCGTCTTCTTCGCCGTACCTTAAAGTTCGCGACGGAATTTCGAAGCGTGTCACATGAAGGTAGCATTAAATCATATATATTCCCGTCGTGATGGCGTCGAATAACACGACACGCCGGCAAAGTGTAACGATTCTCTTAGTCTATCTTTAGTAACGCTGGCAACTATTTCAGGTGCTTCGCCGCTCGCGCGGATTCCGTTCTCTATCGTTGCCCGATTAATTTTAACAAACGGACAAACACTTGGATTCTCCATTTACCAGGCCACATACGTACCGCGAGGCGACAATAAGTAGAATCACCGATAGGTAGATTCAACATCACAGTGTAGTACGTGTTACAAATAACACGTTATAAATAAAGTCTATAGAAATCTCTAGAATTAATCGAATGATTTGTTTGTCGCGACGGGTGGACGACTCACGTCGGGAATCGTCACTTCGTAATTCCGGAATTCTCGTTATTTTTCTAAAAGCCTCCTCGAGTTAATGTGGTACCCGTTAAAATCTCGCGTGCGCCGCGGCTCTTCGTCCCATTTCCGTCGTCGTTCGTTTCTCGCGTGACATTCGAAAGGTGCGTCGCCATAACAATCGGCTTGCGTGCTGCTCGTCGAGAACGGCGACGGCCGTCCTAAAGTGCGTCTTCCAAATTTAACGCGGGTCACATGCCGCGGTGACATGTCCGCGTCCCTGCCCCCCCGGCCGCGAGATATACGCGCGCCGAGAGGACAATGCCGTATCTATCATAGAGAAGACACAGCGGGAAATTTGACGATATTATTGCGGACGAGAAAAGCACGAGGGATCATTGTTTGTTAGGAGAGCGCCGGCGGCGACGACGGAGCGACGCGACGATTTACCGAATTTATTTTCGGAACGGTTGGCCACAATAACGGGACGCGAAAACGGGTGCGTCCCGATCGGCGCGAACCCGGGGATGACCCGGCGACAATTATACAAACGCAATCGAATGTCTTCGTTAATTTCTATTAACGTTTAATTCACGTGATGATACCATCGATCGTGCCTGAGAAGTCGCGGCTGAAAAGATCCCCTCGATCGATCTCTTTGTTGTCTTGTGTGTCAGTCGTCAAGTGAGATTTTTTTTTTTTAACAATTAATCGGAATATACGTAGCGCATGGCATGTCCTGGCACGTCCACGCCAGGATGCCGTTGTCGTTTCCACCATTTCGACGCGCGTACCACACATCGCGAATGAGAAATATGGGGGTTAATTGTACCATCGACCACGCAGAAAAGCCTGCGGACCTGGATGATTATTACAGCATGTAATAAGCTGCAATTTTCGCCGGGCATTTTCCGCGACCGTGACGCGTCCGCGATTGCGAATAAACCGTAAACCCCGACGAAATCGAGGAAGCGTACGGAAAATGATTTTATAATGAATGAATTTCGGGAAATTCCGGTACTCCGCGCGCGTTTACGCAGATAGGTCTATATATGAATCAAATAATATTGACTCTGCGCGCGCGGTCGACGTTGATGCACGGGCGTTCGATATTTTCCGCTTAAAAACGATGTTTATTTTACCGATTTTAAATTCTATGCGAATTATATGCAACGTCTGTTTATATAAATATGCATTTGAAACATGTCGGATAGCTCCATTACGTTCTATCTCTTGCAACGTTATTTGTTCATTAAATATGTACAGTGATTTTGACGCGACCGCAATATAAATACAATATATATATA